TCACTCTACTCCCCTCCACGCACTCCCTCACTCTACTCCCCTCCACGCACTCCCCTCACTCTACTCCTCCCCTCCACGCACTCCCCTACCCCTCCCCTCACTCTACTCCCCTCACACGCACTCCCTACCCCTCCCCTCACTCTACTCCCCTCCACGCACTCCCCTCACTCTACTCCCCTCCACGCACTCCCCTACCCCTCCCCTCACTCTACTCCCCTCCACGCACTCCCCTACCCCTCCCCTCACTCTACTCCCCTCCACGCACTCCCCTACCCCTCCCCTCACTCTACTCCCCTCCACGCACTCCCCTACCCCTCCCTCACTCTACTCTCCACTCCCCTCACTCTACTCCCCTCCACGCACTCCCCCACTCTACTCCCCTCCACGCACTCCCCTACCTCCCTCCCCTCACTCTACTCCTCTCCACGCACTCCCCTCCACGCACTCCCCTCACTCTACTCCCCTCCACGCCCTCCCTACCCCTCCCCTCACTCTACTCCCCTCCACGCACTCCCTACCCCTCCCCTCACTCTACTCCCCTCCACTCACTCCCCTACCCCGCCCCTCACCCTACTCCCCTCCACGCACTCCCCTACCCCTCCCCTCACTCTACTCCCCTCCACGCACTCCCCTCCACGCACTCCCCTCACTCTACTCCCCTCCACGCAATCCCCTCCCCTCACTCTACTCCCCTCCACGCACTCCCTATCCCTCCCCTCACTCTACTCCCCTCCACGCACTCCCCTACCCCTCCCCTGACTCTACTCCCCTCCACGCACTCCCCTACCCCTCCCCTGACTCTACTCCCCTCCACGCACTCCCCTACCCCTCCCCTGACTCTACTCCCCTCCACGCACTCCCCTACCCCTCCCCTCACTCTAAACCCCCTGGCTCCATGCCCCTGTTCAAGTCCGGGCTCAAAACCCTTCCATTTGTTGTTGCTGCTCGTGACTGACCGACTGCCTCTGTCTATAAAATAAATATGCCAAATGTTTCTTACCATAATCTTGAGATGCCATATAAAGCCACATTGTAATCGTACAGAATGAGGTGCTCATCTGTCAGACGTGTTTACTTTACACAATTGCATTACTTGAAGTTGATAGAAGCATTAGAAAGCATTTACACATAGCATGATAATCTGAAGGGGCACTATGAAAACTGAAGGGCCACATAATGAATGATGTAATGTATCATGAGCTCACAGAGTATACCCACCCAACTCGCACTGACCAGCCCGGTGAAGTTTGATCAAATAGCTCCCATGACCCACAAGGCCTGGGGGAGACCTTCATCCAGCAGTGGATTGAGAAAAAGAGCCGTACACGTACACAATATCAGAATACATTACTCAAGATTTGAATTTACTGGCGGTTTCAATGGTCAAATGCCCTTGGGTTGAAGGAATGAGGCTCAATTTCTCTTGAACTGTGCCCTCTGTTGGTCACACGCTGCCACTGTGAGTGGAGAGGCGAGTCCAAACCATGAATGTTCCACACTTAGCACCCACCAATGTTTTGTCTAATAACTGTAAGCATAGTACAACGCACCACGTCACTTTGTCAACGCACTGCTGGATGAGGTGTCTCTCTCACACCGTGCGGGTCACTGAAGGTTGGGCGAAGGCAAGGAGCCATATAGGAGCCTGGATGTTGCTTTGATGGGCCACCACCGTACATGATGGCACAGGTGTTATAGGCTGCTACGAGAGTAGTGCAGCAACATCCACTGTTGTTGTTGTTTGCCCGCCTTCACAATGCCGCACTGACCAGCGTGGTGAAGCGTGGTCAAAGACATTAAACCCGCAGAACCCGCATTTCGTCGGGATTTATGGGTGGGGGATAAATGTTGATTTGAAGCTTTCGAGACTGCAGGAATCCATACTCTTTGGTTCTTTTGGAAAAGTCACGTGGGTAGAAAATAAAATAAATCACGACGTTTCGGGCGCAACACAAGCGTCCGTCATCACGACGGCCAGATGAGGAAATAGCGACATTTAAATACATTGGCTTGAGTGGTGCAATGTTATTGTTGTTATTGTGATTACGCTACTGATTAAAAAAAACGTAATTTGGAATGTCTTAACTCACGGAAGACTTAATCATAATATGTATTTATATTGGATGAATCCGATGAGCTATGAAGATCTTTTTACAGATGTCCAGTAGCGGCAGGTTAGAACGTCACAACAACCAATACAACAAAATAATACAAAAAACTAACACGATAGAGGAGTACAAAGTTTAGGAAAGGTGAATAAATCACTTAAAAAATATAAAAAACGTGACTATTTTTGTATCTTACCAGGTAAGACCCACTGAGCTATTAAAAAACAGATGTTATTTTACATCCTCCGTCATATCAAGCATTTCAACATCTTGGCGTTATCAAGGTTGGGGGGGGGCATCGCCAATATCAGGCAACACGGACTCGTCGGAGCAGGCGGGGGGGGAGAGATTTTGTTTGGGGAAGGCGGGGGTGGGTGTTCGCCAGGTCATTGCCGTTCTGGACTCACGCATTGAAGGCTGTTCTGAGGTTTATGAATGGACCCCAGCCCACTGAGCTATTAAGAAGTTCCCCCCGAAGCAGCAGCTGCCGCCTTAACAAATGGACGTCCTGGGAAAACTTGGACCGCCTTTTCCACTGCGTACACACCAAAGCCCGGACACACTTCTCAGTCGGCACTGGGTCTCGTGATCCATACCTGTCAACCCATACGGTTTTCCCCGTATTCTTGTGCAGAGAAATTGAGTTTGCAGGTCCATATGGGCCGTCCATAAATGACGTCACGCGATTTTTGACGATTTTTGACCCCCCCCCCATCGTCACACGGCGTCACAAAAAGTCAGACCCCCCCTCAAATATGACGTCACAAAGCTCTGCCCCCCCCCCAATTTTTTTTTACATGCTTCAAATCGCTTTAAACTATTGTCATTGTAGTGCGTATTTAATGTGACGCTGCACTATGATGCTGTAGGAAAACACATTTATTAAAAAGTATATTTAATTAAGTATAACGTGTTGTCTATATTTATTTAAAGTTGCGCATTTTGAAGTAACGTCACATTTCTCACCCCCCTCCCCTCGTCACAAATGTCTGACCCCCCTCCCCCTAGGTGCGTGACGTCATTTATGGACGGCCCCATAGGGCGTACAGCCGTTTTCAATACGGGCAAAAAATATATATTTGTGTTTCTCCCTTGTAATGGGACTTTGTAGGATAAACGTTGAGATTTATAAGGGTACGGGGTGACCAATAAGAGTTGAATTTGTCTGTAAAGAAGGGAGGCACTGATAAAGGGTTGACAGGTATGCGTGACTGATCTATTTGGCAACGCCGCCAATACCCGCAAGATCTCAGTACAAACCAAATCCTTTCGCCACCCGAACGCTGATGCCATTTCCGCCCCGGAGTGTGCGTGGGGTCGCACGCCCTGCATTTAGATGACAGCATTTCGATTATACTAGTAGGAACCTCCTGGTTACACCAGCCCACAGGGGATTATTGTATCCGTCGTGCAGGGAGGGGCTGGGTGGGGAGGGAGGGACTGGGTGGGGAGGGGAGGGTGGGGAGGGGCTGGGTGGGGAGGGGAGGGTGGGGCTGGGTGGGAATGGGAGGGGCTGGGCGGGGAGGGGAGGGTGGGGAGGGGCTGGGTGGGGAGGGGAGGGTGGGGAGGGGCTGGGTGGGGAGGGAGGGGCTGGGCGGGGAGTGTGGGGAGGGGCTGGGTGGGGAGGGGAGGGTGGGGCTGGGTGGGGAGGGGCTGGTCACCCCGTGGTGCCCTTATAAAACTCAACGTTTAACCTACTCACGCCGGCTTGTGCCCGCCCTCACAGTCAGGCATATTTGCGGAACACACCACGCCGCCGTTGACCCTGGCCATTGACCGAGCAACCCAACGTTCCTACCAGCTCCCTCCGCAGGACAATGCGTTTTTAAATCCTTTATATTAAGTTCGCTTGCTTGCTTACGATCGTGCAAATCTTTCGGTCGTTTTTTAACCCACTTCCCGTGATCCAATCGAGCTGACATTTTCCACACAGACTCGTTGTGCGTGACAATTAATGTTCGTGGAATTTTTTCCCCAAAATTTTACACTTTTTAGGACAGAGATATTATATTTAATTACCAATTGCTTAATGGTGCAATGCAATCATCTGACCCATAGGTGGCAGCCATCTCAAGCCAGAGGACGAGAGGACTCTAGCCGCCACGCATATAAAGGATATATAGTGAAAAACTTTGTTTTTACGGGTTATACTTGTTTCTGCTCATAAAATGTCCAGATGATGGGCCACTTTTGTTGAGCTATCAGTGGCAGCCAGGTCGCTTCTGAAAAACAAGTTAATACACCTCAGTGGGCTTTGCCTGGGTAGGATGGGGATACTTTAGTATTGTATTTGTACGTGTTTTGGTGATGTGTTTGTTTACCTTTCTTGTACTTTGCACTACTATAATGTTTTGTATTGGTTGTCGTTGTTGCGTTCTTACCCCGTGTCCGTGAAAAGAGCTTTATAGTTCATCGGATTCTTCCTGCAGTATAAATAAATATCATACCGATCAACCCCTTATCAGTGCCCTACCTTATTATGGACCAATTCATATCTTATTGGTCACCCCGTGCCCTTATACATCTCAAAGTTTATCCTACAAAGTGGCATCACAAGGGAGAAACACAAACAAATAGACAACACATTGTTTCATGCCCGCATTGAAACGGCTGTTCGCCGTATGAACCCTGAAAACTCAATTTACCTGTATAAGAATACGGGGTTAAAACCGTATGAGGTTGACAAGTATGAAATACAAATTTTAAATTCTCTAAAGTTACGGACTGTAACGGGACAGGTGGCAACTTCATCCGCGGGCACGGGAGGAGTGGGGGGGGCTAGGGGGGAGTGTTGGGGGCCGGGCTGTGATTGGTTGGCCGCTTGAGGAGGCCGGGCTGTGATTGGTTGGCCGCTTGAGGGGCCGCGTCACGGGGGCGGCTCCCGCTCGACGTGGACGGAAACGGAGGCGTGGAGCGTGGCACCCGCAGAGACACGCGGAGACAGACACAGTGAGACACGGTGAGACAGACAGTGACAGAGACACAGAGAGACAGTGAGACAGACACAGAGACACAGTGAGACACTGTGAGACAGACAGTGACAGAGACACAGAGACAGTGAGACACAGAGACACAGTGAGACAGAGACACAGTGAGACAGAGACACAGAGACACAGTGAGACAGAGACAGTGAGACAGAGACACAGTGAGACAGTGAGACACAGAGAGACAGTGAGACACAGAGACACAGTGAGACAGAGACACAGTGACACAGTGAGACAGTGAGACAGAGACACAGAGAGATACAGAGAGACAGAGACACAGTGAGACAGACACAGTGAGACAGACACAGTGAGACAGAGACACAGTGAGACAGTGAGACAGACACAGTGAGACAGAGACACAGTGAGACAGTGAGACAGACACAGTGAGACAGAGACACAGTGAGACAGAGACACAGAGACACAGTGAGACAGAGACACAGTGAGACAGAGTGAGGAGACACGCTGAGACAGAGGCCCAGGTAAGAGAGTTCTGTCTGTGTCTCTCTGGGGTCAGTGTCTCTCCGGGTCGTCAGGATGATGTCTGTCTGAGGCAGTGTCTGTCCTCCTGGCATTCAGGGTTGATGTCCTACCAGTGTGGTGGTTATCCTGCTGTCTGTCCAACTGCTAGGGCTCATGACTCTCCTCCGTGGCTTGTCAGGGTCCGTGGTCTCTTCACGTCTCTCAGAGTTAGTGTCTCACCCAATGTCCGGGTCTGTGTGGTGTTTGGAACAGAGTCCTCTCTCTCTCTGTCACTCAGGGCCCGTGCCCTGTCCGTCAAGGGGTGGTGATGTCTGGCGTAATGTCTGCGCTCGTTGTCCATCGGTGTCTGTGCCTCGTGTCCATGGGTCATGTTTCGTGTCTTGTCCGCCAAGACGAATGTCCATCGCAATGTCTTGCCAGTGCTCAGTGTCGTCTGCCCCAGTCCTTGTTTCTCTTCCCTGACACACTCTCCACATTTCTACACAGCGCAGCCATCAAAGTAACAGCTTTCCGTGCTTGTGTCTTGATCCCACGGACTCTTCCCACCCCCCCTCTCCCCCAACCGGCGACATCAATTTACCTGTATAAGACTACAGGTAAGCTGCCGGGGCTCGGCTGTCTGCCGAGGGCTGAAACGCAGCAAGCGGACATCGGCCGGTGGCAGTTTGGGGCACAAATATTTGTCCAGGGTCACAAAGTGGCACCGGCGCATTGATTTTCTTTTATGCTCCGTAGTGACGCAAGTGCTGACGCGTCCCTCTGGTCCCCGTGGCTTGCGAGCACAGCGGCTTCATTGTTGAGTTCAGCTGACCGTCATAAACAACACGCCTGCCGTTCCCCGGATTACCCCCGCTGTGGCTTCAACACAGCAGCACCCTTGACTCTGTCGGGCAGAGAGAGAGAGTGGTGAGTGAGCGAGCCGCGATTGGTGAGCCGAGATTGGTTAGTTTGCATGTGGTGAGTTGCGATCGGTGAGCTGAAATCTGGTGAGCTGGAATTGTTCAGGCTGAGATAGGTGAGCTGCGATTGGTGAGCCGAGATTGGTGAGCTGAATTTGGTGAGTTTGCATGTGGTGAGTTGCGATCGGTGAGCTGAAATTTGGTGAACTGGAATTGTTCAGGCTGAGATAGGTGAGCTGCGATTGGTGAGCGGAGATTAGTGAGCTGAATTTGGTGAGTTTGCGTGTGGTGAGTTGCGATCGGTGAGCTGAAATTTGGTGAGCTGGAATTGTTCAGGCTCAGATAGGTGAGCTGCGATTGGTGAGCGGAGATTGGTGAGCTGAATTTGGTGAGTTTGCATGTGGTGAGTTGCGATCGGTGAGCTGAAATTTGGTGAGCTGGAATTGTTCAGGCTCAGATAGGTGAGCTGCGATTGGTGAGCCCGCGACTGGTGGGATAAAATTGGTGAGCTGGACTTTGGGGCCATTCATAAATGACGTCACGCACCTGGGGGGGGGGGTCAGACATTTGTGACGATGTGTGATGAGGGAGGGGGGCTTTGAGAAATGTGACGTCACATCAAAATGCGGAACTTTGAATAAATATAAACACGTTCTACTTAATTAAATAGACTTTTTGGTAAATGTTTTCTGCTACAACATCAGAGTGCAGCGCCACATTAAATACGCACTACAATGACAATAGTTTAAAGCGATTTGAAGCATGTTTTATTTTTGGGGGGGGGGGGGGAGAGCTTTGTGGCGTCATATTTGAGGGGGGGTCTGACTTTTTGTGACGCCGTGTGACGAGGAGGGGGGGGTCCAAAATCGCGTGACGTCATTTATGGACGGCCTCTTTGTGAAGCAGAAGTTGGTGAGTTTAACACGTAGGCTTTCGCGACCAATGTTATTCATAATCAACGTTTTTGGGTTTAGATCGCGTTATTTATAAATGTGTCGTAACCCTCCACCACCCGACACGGCCAATCAGTAAAAATGTGTCACGTTGACAAAGACAAATAGTTCACTGCTTTAGCCCACCGGTGTGTTGAAGCCACAACATTTACAATTTGAGTACGACGTTTCGCTGGTAATTGCAACCAGCATCATCGGGCAATTCGCTCTATATAAGAACGGGAGACAGCAGAGCCTCACCATTCTGGCGAATTGCCCGATGATGCTGGTTGTAATTACCAGCGAAACGTCGTACTCAAATTGTAAATGTTGTGGCTTCAACACACCGGTGGGCTAAAGCAGTGAACTATTTGTCTTTGTCAACGTGACACATTTTTACTGATTGGCCGTGTCGGGTGGTGGAGGGTTACGACACATTTATAAATAACGCGATCTAAACCCAAAAACGTTGATTATGAAGAAATTGGTGAGCTGAGTTTGGTGAGCTGAGTTTGGTGAGTGAGCTGGGGTGGGGCTCACAAGGTGTGGCACGACAAGGATGACACATTGACCCTCAGCGCACAAACCGGATGATGACTTTAATGAGCATGGCTTGACAGACTTCGCTGGCCATTTTATGCCCTCTGCCCCTGCTGAATCATTCTTCTGTTTTGAGTGCCCACTCCATTCCTCGATGTCATGAGTCCATTTACGGCTGTTCCTTCATTCTAAGAAAGCAGGTCAGAGTTCACTTGAGATTGCGAGTCTCACTCTTTTGGGAGACTTGGGTTACAGGGAAATGTGGGCGTACAAAGGGACTTGCGCAACAAAGGAAATTAAATATAAATTCTCATAAATCTCTTCGAGCGCGCGCTAAGTCAAACTAAATCTTCAACTATCGGTAACACAACAACAACGTAAAGCAGATGCAGTTTCCAAAAACTGAAGTGGAAACACAAATCTACAGTGTTGTACGCTCTTTTCCTCTTCCGTCTATCGTGAGTATGCGACGATATTCCAGCAAGTATGAAAAATAAGAATAGGTGTTTACCCTTTCTGGGAACAATACAGATGTTGAGATGTTCAAACACCAAATAGAAAGCCTTTGCAAGGAATCACGTCTGCATTAACCACACACAGTACAAGTGGTGAGCATGCAAACAAAGATGCTCCGATCATATAAACGCGTGAGCCAGACAACAAACCAACGCACACTCCGGTTGAGCTCTCCCCTGATGGTTTCCATTATCGACGTTTCCACTCCTTGATAACGAGCCGAAGTCTCTTAAGAGGTTTTATCCACTCCTTGATTCTGCGTTGCCATGGTGCGTTACTGCCAGGGCTTCTCCTGATGCAATTATATGGCTCAACTACATCAGTGTAGAAGTATCGTTGTTGCTCTTCATCAACACCAGCCGCACAAAGAGGAGCATTGCCTGGGCTTTATATATCTCGCTCAATATGTTGTGGGCCGCTGGTAGACTGGAGTTGATGGCACTTGACTAGAAGCCACATGTCACAGCGAAGAGATGTACTGGATGTGGTGGCCCGGGTGCAGAGACAATTTTCCGGGTCACTGACTTGGCTGGCATGAACCCCTGGTCACATCGCTGGCCGTCTGACCCAGGTGGCACGCGCGTCGCCCATCGTGCAGCCAGACGTCGCCGCCGGAACCCAGGCAGGATGCGCCTGACGGAGACGCCGCTGTTCGACCCGGCACTGCTCACGTCGCTGGACTGGAGCCACAACGACGTGGAGTTCAACCCCACGATCTCGCCGGCCGCCCCCGGGGAGGGCCTCGTGATGAGGCCTCTGTGCACGGCCGACTTCAATAAAGGTACTTTTCAAATTATGTGTTCAACATATTTTCATTTTACCGGGGAAGGCCCCACTGAGCTGTGTAGCTCTTTTGCAAAAGCGACTTGGCCGCAAATGATAACTCAACGAAGTGGCTTATCACGGCCTCTGGACCCTGGTGTGTTGTTGAACCGTCCGCACACTCGACACCTACACTGCTGCGTTACAGAATACGAAGAATGTGGCCAGTGTTGGAGAAAGTAGATAACCTTGCAGCCATTCCTTCACCGCGTGTTTGTCTTGTTGTTATGTGCCGCAGGCTTCATGAAGGTTCTGTCACAGCTGACGCACGTTGGAGAGGTGACGGAAGAGCAGTTCATTGGTATTTCATCTCAGCCTACATACGCTGTTCTCTATTGTTTGTGGCTGTAGTTAGACAAGCAGTGCAGACAGCCATGCAGCTGTTGTCTTTATCAAATTGCATGAAACTCAACTCTTTAAAAACATCAACAACATATGATTTATATCACCCAAAGTGCAGACATCATCATGTCTAGCCTACGCAATGTGACTATAAGATGATGTAAAAACTCGTAGCAATTAACAGGGTCTACACCCTTATCCCTTCTCACCATTTCCCCTCTCGTGGGACATCTTCACCACAAACAGAACTTCTCAAACCAGCTCCCTCCCACTCCGCGGCTGCACCATGCACTCACACCAACAAGGATAACTTGGAATGTTCTATTTTGCTCTGTTTTTTTTACTCAGTCAGCTCGAGCATTGACATGACATTGCAAACAAACCAACACTGAACGTGACTTATGGAGCCGAATCCTATAAACATTCAGCATTAGGCTGAAAACATCATAATACATAGAGGACCGTAGTGCTTGGGCAATTGTTGGTAACACCGGCTCCTCACCACGTGGCTGATGCATTCCAGCTTGCTTATGGTTCCCCAGCGATTTCGAGATATAATTTGCGTGAACGACGACGCTATACGCGCTGTAAACTCAGCTGTAAATATGAATGGTTGCTGTGGGCGTTCACATGACAGGTGGGCAGTGGGACACACGACGGACTTGACCTTTGCAACTCGGATTCTCACTGCGGTGTTGCCGCACCCTCTCTACCCCCCCTCCACCCCCCGGCCACGCTGTTCCTCTACGCAGCGCGGTTTGAAAGCTTGAAGAAGGCGGGCGGCTACTTCATCGTGGTGGTGGAGGACACCAAGCAGGGCACGATAGTGGCCACGGGAACCCTGATGGTGGAACAGAAATTCATCCATTGCTGCGGCACGGTACGCTCAGCTCACCGGGCTGTACCGCACGGGAGGCACGATACAAATGATCGATAACGACGACGTTGATAACAATCATGATGATGACACTTGTTAAAATCTAGAGCTTCATAAGCTTGTGATGTACGCATCGAATCTGTGTGATTTGATTGACCCTTGTTTTGTGTAATGGGTTTGTTTTTATGACCCTTGCAGTCACCGGTTGGCCGCTACATTACTCACAACATATATGAAAATAAAATGCGGTCGAGTCTTGATTCAAATGGGGCGACCCTGAATCACGACATCCTCCCGTCAGAAGCGCACGTGCTCGTGTTTCCACGATCTACAGTCTCAACACATGCAGGGGACATATGCAGAGTTTAAAACTATTAAGAACGTTTGATTTTACCAGGTAAGGCTCACTGAGCTTTTTTTTCCGAAGCGACCTGGCCACACCACACAAAGAGTCCAGTGAAGTGGCTTATCACAGCAAAATGTATTGCAGCCGAATACTCAACACGTTTCTAAACGTGGAAGGGAAAACTGGAGGACCCGGAGAAAAATTCATGCGACCACAGGGAGAACGTGCAAACTCCATATAAACAGGCGTCGGGGTTGGGATCAAGTCCCCGTGACTTTGTGGGCTTGATCTCACCACCGCAGCACCCTTATCTCTGTATATAATAATACTTGAATACAAGAATACGATTTGGATTCATATTGCAACCGTCCAATAGCAACCGCAAATTTCAAGATGCTATACACAGCGGGGATAGTTTTTTTGAGAGATCGAGGTGGCCATGGGCAGAGGTGGCGAGGAAGGCCTTGAGGCTGGAGTCACCAGCACGGAATGCTGTGAGAAGGGATGTTATCTCCCTCGCCTGGTATGCAGGACGTCGTAGGTTCGATCCCGACCCTGACCCCTGGATATTTGGAGTTTGCGTATTCTCTCCGTGGTCACGTGGATTTTTCTTCGGGTCCACTGTTTTTTTTCTTTCACATTTAGAAACGTGCGTTTAGATTATTAAGTTATAATTTTCCACATGATAAGCCACTTCGTTGAGCTATCATATGTGGCCAGGTTGCCTTTAAAAAAAAGAGATAATAGCTCAGCAGGCTTTACCTGGTAAAATAGAATATCTTTTGTTTGGACTTTGAGGGGCAGCAGAGGAGGTATGATCGACTTCCCGTTGAGCGTATATTGATCGGGGTTGTGTATGCAGGCAGGCAGGTGTCTGTTGAACACTGTCCATTTGTATTGTCCTTCCCCCTCACCTCCGATTGGCACGGTTGGTGTGTGAGAAATAAGTTGGGCATACACACGAGCACACTGAGCTATGAGATGAGATGCATTCACCAGCAGAGGGCACTACAAGTCCGCTGTTACGAGACGTGTGTCAGGTCCCACACGACTGCTTCAGGATCACAGCCACTCATTACTAGAGTAATACCCCGGTTTATGTCTCCACCTACTTACTGCCGATCGCTTTGATTTACATCGTTTCGATATCCGTCATCGCACATTTCAGGAATGCATCCCAGACGTAAATCGGGGTATTTTGGTAATGCCCCATTGAGTCTCGAGGTTATTTTTCAGGAAGGTCCTGCCAAGTTTTTGCGGTATGTATGTATGTACGTATTCTACGTACGTAGCCAACAAACTAAATACAAAAAGCAGTTCTAAAGAAGTTAGTATTTTCAATCTACATGGTTTAAAAGTGAACAGCTCCAGTGGCTTCCTAATATCAAAAGGAAGAGTGTTCCAGACGGCCGCAGAAGCGCTTCTGAAAGCACGTGATGCGGTGGCCATCTTTGTTCAATGGCTATCCAAAAGCCGTTGCGAGGATGACCGGAGTTCGCGTGATGATTTATGTTTATTGACGATGTTGCTGTGTGCAATTCCAGTTGAGTCATTTGCAGGTAACTTCTCAACCAGTGGGATGTTTGGCCAATGCCGGTACATTGTTGTAGTGGGTTTGTTTAACTGTGGGAGGAAACCCATGCAGAACAGGAGGGTAGAACGTACAAACCCCACACAGAATGTCAGGAATGGAACCCAGACCCTTCTGGCTGCGAGGCACAAGTGTTACCACCGCTCCGCCCGGCCACCCTCTTAAGTTCGGTGTACAGTGTTGGCTGCGCAGGGAGTGGTATAATTCATTTCAGCAGGGGCTGTGTCCTCTCACCGAGCACACCACATCCGGTACACAGCTCGCTACTCAAATGCCACCTGCTTCACCTACTCCAATCCACCAGCGACCCGGAAAATATATTCAGTGAGAAATAAATCCCTGAGTGTCGGCAAATGTACCGCGATTCAAAGAGTAATTTACCCTTGTCTTGTGTGGCTTGGACGTGTGTGTGTGTGGGGGGTGTCACTGGCAGAGAGGGTGAGGAGCGGTAGTGTGTGGGGAGCGGTGGTGTAGCGGTTAGCGCGTTGCGCTACGAACCCGGCGACACGAGTTCAATTCCTGCTCATGGCCAACACCAGTGACGATTATCTGAACTGTTCTGCTCCATCCCCTAGGTCTACTCAGCCTCAAACGTTGTGTAAACATCATTACTGGGGAGACCAAGCCGGTCGAGCGTGGTGCTGGCCACCGACCCTCTCGTGTGCCGTTCCGGCCTTCATAGGTGCTCGCTAACAGCACTTGCCACAACAGTCTGTTAAGGCTATCCGGGGGGGATCTTTGTCTTTGTTTTTGTCACTGGCAGAGAGGGCGGATGGAGGATGTGGTCGTGACCGATGAGTGTCGAGGAAAACAGCTGGGCAAACTGTGAGTTCCCCTACCGATCGAGATACGGCGCATCGCACCACACCACCGCGGTCTCTCTTCATTTAGCAACAGAAGCAACTGTTACACTATTCCTTATCTGATCATCAGCATTATCATCGCAGGTCATGGCCTAGTGGTAGTGCATTCGGCAGTGGTTGCAGAGGTTCCTGGTTTGAATCCGGTGGCCGCCCTGGTTGTTACCGCGGTCGGAATCGTCGACGCGGTCGGAATCGTCGACGCCGTCTGCTTTACTGTGGACGTTAAAGATCCCGTGACGTCATTCGCAACAGTCGGCCCTTGTGTGCCGGTGTCGGGGGAATTCGAAAACTAAACCACACATTCCGAAATCGGGATTCTACACTCGGACGGCACCAACCGCCGCCCCCCTACTGGCAGCCTGATGCCCCAGGTCACTCTTAGAAACGAGATTCTCTTTTGAGTTCTCAACTGGTTAAACAAGTAAAACAGAACTCTCCATTTCTGAATGAAGATCTCCCCGTGACGTCGACACCACTCGTGTTCCCACGCTGCCACGTTCCGTCTCGCTGCTGCGTTAGTTGATCTTATTGCGCCGTCTCGGTGGCGGCCGCACCCTTTTCGGTGGCGCTGTTCACCGACAGTCTCTTCTATCAGCCACCACCCCTCTTCTCGTGATGTGCCCTGAGCAAATCACACTTCACTTTCCTTGATGACGAAGCTGCTACATGTGTTCTCGCAGGGGGGAGGGGGGCGGTTCGTGGCACGTGCCTCCCCAATGATCCGATCGAAATCCCTAATTTGGATCGGATCATTGGGGTTTATTAGTAATAAATCGGCATTTTGCGACCCCCACTGCCACTGTGTAGCATATTATTACGTGCCGGGGACTCTATGAGATGATAGGACAATAGTCTGAGTCCATAATTGGCAATAAGTAACGGCAAAGCAGTTATAAGTGACTCAGAATTGTGCGCAGTTGCGTATACAGTACACGACTTCCCTGAAGGCACACACGGTTTGAATTCGACTCTCGATCGATGGCTGCGCCATCGCTACACACGTTTCCAATAAAAAGCAAGGGACAAGTCCTTACTTACTAACAACTCCTCTATAATTTTTCATTGCTGGAGGGGTTGCCCCCCCACCTGACAATCCTGGCTCCGCCTTTGGTAACAGGACTAAGTTTCCGGCCTGCACTATTTTTCTGTTGTGATGGGCTGTTCTCATCATTCACTGATTGGATTAATAATCCTGTACCAAGCGAGACAAACAAAAATGAGAAAAAAAACCAGACAGTCAAGGTCAAATTCAAACATCACTGATTCTCGATTCGGATTGCACCCCTGAACATTGAAATTGGTGGAATCGCCACAGGGTGTGGGGGGGGTGTTGTTGGTCATTAGCGGTGTCGTTGCGAAACAGCCGTGCGTCCTTGCTATGCGGTGCCCTCACGGGGCTGACCACCGGGCATCGCCCGTCTTGCGCCGTCTCCTCGCAGGCTGCTGGTCACGTTGAAGCTGCTGAGCAAGAGCCTGGGCTGCTACAAGATCACGCTGGAGTGTCTCCCCAAGAACGTGGCCTTCTACGAGAAGTTTGACTACAAGACGTCGCCGGAGAGCTACATGCAGTGCCGCTTTCTACCGTGACGCCTTCCCCCTCCGAGTACACGGCACGGGACAGAATGGCAATGCTGACGTCCGCTGACCTCTCGTGAGTCAGCCCTACCACCTAGCCCTTCCCAAGTCCTACCACTTGACCCCTACCACCCAACTCCTACCACCCAACTCCTACCACCCAACTCCTACCACTTAACCCCTACCACTTAACCCCTACCACCCAACTCCTACCACCCAACTCCTACCACCCAACTCCTACCACCCAACTCCTACCACCCAACTCCTACCACCCAACCCCTACCACCCAACTCCTACCACCCAACTCCTACCACTTAACCCCTACCACTTAACCCCTACCACCCAACTCCTACCACCCAAGTCCTACCACCCAACTCCTACCACCCAACTCCTACCACCCAACCCCTACCACCCAACTCCTACCACCCAACTCCTACCACCCAACCCCTACCACCCAACTCCTACTACCCAACCCCTACCACCCAACTCCTACCACCCAACTCCTACCACCCAACTCCTACCACCCAAGTCCTACCACCCAACTCCTACCACTTAACCCCTACCACCCAACTCCTACCACCCAACTCCTACCACCCAACCCCTACCACCCAACTCCTACCACCCAACTCCTACCACTTAACCCCTACCGCTTAACCCCTACCACCCAACTCCTACCACCCAAGTCCTACCACCCAACTCCTACCACCCAACTCCTACCACCCAACCCCTACCACCCAACTCCTACCACCCAACTCCTACCACCCAACCCCTACCACCCAACTCCTACCACCCAACCCCTACCACCCAACTCCTACCACCCAACTCCTACCACTTAACCCCTACCACCCAACTCCTACCACCCAACTCCTACCACCCAACTCCTACCACCCAAGTCCTACCACCCAACTCCTACCACCCAACTCCTACCACCCAACCCCTACCACCCAACTCCTACCACCCAACTCCTACCACCCAACCCCTACCACCCAACTCCTACCACCCAACCCCTACCACCCAACTCCTACCACCCAACTCCTACCACTTAACCCCTACCACCCAACTCCTACCACCCAAGTCCTACCACCCAACTCCTACCACTTAACCCCTACCACCCAACTCCTACCATCCAACTCCTACCACCCAACCCCTACCACTTAACCCCTACCACCCAACTCCTACCACCCAACTCCTACCACCCAAGTCCTACCACCCAACTCCTACCACTTAACCCCTACCACCCAACTCCTACCACCCAACTCCTACCACCCAACCCCTACCACCCAACCCCTACCACCCAACCCCTACCACCCAAACCCTACCACCCAACCCCTACCACCCAACTCCTACCACCAAGCCCAGCGAGGATGTTGGCATAACGAACGGGTGAGCACCTCGAGCCCCTCATAATCAATGTATTGTCCCTTTATAGTCTAAATAACAAGGTGAATCTACAGCAGGGTTGCGAGGTTTATCTTCTGTCTGTCGTTTATTTGTTACGGAGATGCTGCACACTATGTTTATTCATTACGGACATTAGGGTGTTAATATCTCGGCTGCGGTGTTGACGGTGACCAAAACCTCCGTATACAACTACATCCTGTGCTGTTGGTTTCACCAGTTGGGAATTCATGAGCAAGCGCGACGGCAAGGTCTGTGTGGAATGCCAAAGGGGAAAAAAGAAACGAATTCGAACGAAGGGATTGGGATGATAATTCGGCCGTGTTGACCACACGACACGTGGCTATTTCAGCAGCAGCGAATAAGGTTTGTCAAGTAAACCTGGCACAAGTTTTGCACGAATTGACTTTCCACGACTCGTGGCTCCCCAAGACCCACGGTAATGTCTTGATAATGCGTGACACAAGGCTCATGGATTCGAAATCAGATGAATCTCCGTGAGTGTGCGTAAAAAAAAAACGATTGGGTGCTTGTACCTCTCTGAAGAGTTGGGTTTTCCATGTCCCACCACCGAGCGCTGAGCGCTGCGGCGGTGGCCGCGTGGGAACGCGTTTCCCCCCCCCCCCCCCCCCCGTTTGTTGATGTCATCTCTATCGAAGGCGTCAATGGTGCAATCACTTCGAGAAACCCATTATCCTTGGATAATGACGCGGCTGAGCCGGTGGTTATATTCAAGACGGGGAACAACATTCGCGTCGTTGACGTCGTCGCTGCCTTGCGAGCGCTTCCCGCCCGCCTGCTCCCGACCGTCCCGAGCGAGAAGCTTCCGCTGGACGACGCTGCGCGAGTTCTCATCGGGCGACGCTGCGAACGCCGCAGGACGATCGCGCTGCCTTGGGGAACATCGGTGGCGGCCGTGAACGGACGCCGGGAGAGCGATGACCGGGTACACCCTGAGCCACTCGCAGGGATTTTGGCGACTTTAGAAAATGCGCGTTCGGGCATTGTTGTCGTTTGAAACTAGCATTCGGAGTCTCATTTAAGGTGGGGGGCATTTGGAAGCTGGGCAACTCTGCTTGCTGTACACGTACAGCAGTTTTGTCAGTCCGCTGCTAAATAAGCACCTTCCAACGCCACACGGATCATGGGCGGGGTGGTATTTGACGGTACTTCACGCTGGTCAGTGCGGGTTGAAGTGTGGCGAGCTAAGTGCTGGTTCTGCTGTGCCGGGTGATTTTGATGTGGGTGCGGGGCGGTTGGAAGCTGCGTATGGGAGCGTTCGCTGTACGGACGCATGGTGATATTTATTTCTCTCTATTTTTATGGCCGGCTATGCACGTGCGGTGGAAGTTTTACGAATTATGGCCGTTTGCCGTGAAATCTTCCGTGGTGGGATATTGGGTTTATTTTTAATAAAAACAGAGCCTGCGTGCGAGCCTGTCGTTTCAGTATCTATCACTACCGTGTGGCTGCCCCTGTAGAGGGGGGCGGGGGGGTGACTGCACGGCCGTCCAGAGAGGGATGGGGGGGTTGGGGGGGGGGCAACTTTCCCCAGTACTCAACATCGGGTCCCGGGACTATTTTCGTCACGAATTGAGGCTGGGACCGTTTTCTCTCGTGGCATTCAGCAAGGAAGCCTTCCCGCCCCGGGCCTTGAGGAACCATCCGCATAGCCCCATGTATAAGATATCGCACACGTTACTAAATATGTTTTATGGATATCCACACAGCGTATGTATTTACGATTTAATGGACAAATATCTCAATAGAGATTATACAGCAATCATTGCCCCCCCCCCTCCCCCCTACTAGCTGACTTTGGATCATCCAGTATAGCAAACCAATAGATGATCAGCGAAACGACACGCACCTCACACACCAACACATACAAAGACAAAGATCCCCCGTGTAGCCTTAACAGACTGTTGGGGCAAGTTTCTGCGAGCAAGCATTTATGCAGGCCGGCATGGCACACGAGGGGGTTGGGTGGCCAACACCACGCCCGACCGCCTTTATCTCCCCATACTCTTATATAAGCGCACAACTTTATCTGTGATGAACGCTGCACTTTCCGTCGTTTTCATGCAGGGGGTGCTGCAAACCTACGCGTCCCCTGCATGAACGACGGAGGCGCAGGGACAGACGTTCGATTACGTTGGAATCGATCTGCAGATGGCGGTCTTCTCGCACGACCAGCAGCTCTGTCGCCTTATCTCTATCCTGCATTCCCAAATGGGTGAAAGTCCGCATCGAACCGAGCCCCCAGCAAGTCCATCTACTTAACGACGAGAGAAAATTCACACGAAACGTCCTGTTCCATTAAACCTTCCAGATGTAAAATGATATCAGCTTTTAATGAAGAAATACAATTATCTAATTCAAAACATAATACAATTCAAAGATGTTTCATTTTAAAACTTCTAAACGGAGCATCGGGTGCTTGCGTTGTTCGTGTGAATTTTTTTTCGTGACTTTCCTGGCCGAAGGCCTTAGTTGCTAATGTTTACACACCGCACCAGGTACTCATTTGAGGCCGAGTCGACCAAGGGGAGGCCCAGGACTGGTACAGATAATCATCACTGGTGTTGGCCACGACCGGGAATCGAACTCGGGTTGTCGGGTTTGTAGCGCAGCGCGTTAACCACTACACTACCGCTTCCCACACAAACACACACACTATAGACACACACACACACACGCTGACATACCAAGACAGAGACACAGACACACAAACCCGGGTGGACAGCTGCCGCTCTTCACCACGCGACTTTACATCCCATCGCTTTATTCACAACAAGAATGTAAAGATGAAAGTGTTTACAGACTTTTTACGTAAGAAAACAAACAAAAATGAGCATCATGAATTCCTCTCATTGTGCACTTAAAATAAACCTGCTTGCCATCCTTATTTTCATCGTCGTCGTCATCATCATCATTATTTTCACTTGAATGGACAAAACGATGCGCGGCAGATAATCCTGGCTATGAGGTATTGAAGGTGACGGCTGGCATGGGTGAACGTCACACGATATAAACAGCACCTGCCCACGTCTCATGAACGCACAAAAAACGAACATAAACAAACCGCTTATAAAAATATAAAAAAAACTCAATTCCAGGATTCGATGTGGAAACAAGAACACGGAACAGCTTTTGTAAATCTTAACAACACCGTCGTACCCAACGCCACGTGGCTTTGTCTTAGTTCCAATGATCGCGAGAACATCACAGTGACACCCACCACACCCTCCCATAAGTGCTTTGCGGTGGTGGGCAGGGCTGGCGGTGCCCACGTGTTGGTTGGATGACGTCTTCCCATCGTCACGGTGCCACGCGCCAGGCGCCCGATCCGTGACGTCGATGGCTCGTCACAAAGGCGAACAAATGAGGAGCCCACGTGGTCAGCGTCGTCGACACAAAGCTTTGCTCGTTAAACGACACGGCCACGGAGAGGGGACGCCGAGCAGGGATGGCGCGGAGCGATCGAGCGGTGGGGCGGTTTCCTTGGCGCGACACGTGGCACCGTGGGGGTGGCACCGTGGGGGTGGCACCGTAGGGGTGGCACCGTGGGGGTGGCACCGTGGGGGTGGCACCGTGGGGGTGGCACCGTGGGGGTGGCACCGTGGGGGTGGCACCCTGGGGGTGGCACCCTGGGGGTGGCACCCTGGGGGTGGCACCCTGGGGGTGGCACCCTGGGGGTGGCACCCTGGGGGTGGCACCCTGGGGGTGGCGGTGGGGTGACCTCAGGAAGCTCCCTCCCCCGCTCTCACGCTGTCAGATTCCCACGGGCGTGGCGGTCACGCTCCGGATTAGCTTGGCTAAAATGATGATGGCGAAATAATTACAAAACACCTTAGCGAATAATTGTAAGTAAAAAAAAATATATACATGTTAATTTTAATGCTAACAATATTTTTTACATCTTATTCAAAACAGCGGCTGCTACGGTTGATTAGTCTCAGTCACACTGAGAAGATGGGTTGCGCCGTGAGTGAAACGCATAAATGCTGGGTGTATATTTATATATTATTTAAACTCAATTAGATTGAGCCTGCTTAGAGCATTCCCGCAAAGGTGCAGCCTCCGCGGAGCTGGGCACACGCACGCCACTCCGGGGACACGCAGGACGGATTCTCGATTCGGCGCGGACGCAAATCATTGCGCTCGTTTAAATCCAGTTCGCCGAGCCGACCGAGATTACATCTTTAGCAAGGGAGGCCTGTGGCTGCCGAACTAACTCACTTTATCAATAATTTATCCGAGGGCAATCTTGCCAGGTGACAGACACCGACTCGCACGAAGATACATCACCGGGTTCTTTAACGTCCGCGCTCACTGCAGACGGCGCACGGCATCGGTAGCTCGATGCGGAAGTTTACCGGCGGTGCCGCTGATCGTTGGCCGGCGGCACGCGGGATGACCACCACGAGGCACCCCGGGGGGGGGGGGGGGGCGAGGAGGAGGAGGGGGGGGTTACTGCCCTCCCCCCCCACCAGTGCAGCGATTCTCGCGGCCCGGAGCGTGGCGCATGAGCCGCTTAAAGTGCTAGGGGAGGCCACGGGGCCCGGGGGGAAGTGCACGGCACCAACGTGAGTGGGCAGCGTGGCGCTGGGCGACGTGGCCGCACGTGCAGGAGGTGGTGGCTATGGCTCGGAGGCTGCGGGGGTGGTTGCCAACGAGTGGGGAGCGGTCGCTTAGCGGTGAGCGCGCTGCGTTATGCACCCGGCGACCCGAGTTCGATTCCCGCTCGTGGTCAACACCAGTGATGATTTTCTGAACCGGTCCTGGGCTTCCCCTAGGTTGACTCAGTCTCAAATGAGAACCTGGTGCAGTGTGTAAATATCGTGACTCAGCCGGGCGTGGTACTGGCCACCCACCCGCGTCGGCCTTAATAAGTGCTACTCGCTAACAGCGGCCGCCTTTGTCTCCCTTAGTAGCGATGCTTACACCACTGTACTAGGTACTCATTTGAGGCTTAATCGACCTAGGGGAGGCCTATAGCGAGTTTAAATAACCTTCACTGGTGTTGGCAGCCTTGAGCGGGAATCGAACTTTGGTCGCCGGGTTCCGAGCGCAGCGCGTTAACCGCTACACCACCGCTCCCCACACACAACAACACAACAACAACAACCGCCATTCGCCACTAAGTGGCGGTGATGTCACCACACACACACACAGACGCACTGACACACACACACAGACGCACTGACACACAAATAAGCAGCCACGTACCCGAACGCGCAAATGCGCACACACAGCAACATACGAGCACACTTCACGCGTGCACTCGTAACCAATAAGCCGCTGCGATAACCCGACGTCGAAGGGGGCGCATCCAAAAGGTGGAATATTTTCTGCCAAATTTACTCAAGGAAAGACTCTCACCTCGGGCCAAGCGCCAGCAGCCGGAGAGCAGCGTCCCCGCGTTCACACGAGCCGGGAGGCAACTTTAGATTCCACATTTTAAACGCGAGTTCCCTCTACGCGGCACCGGCGAGGGTTTTGGGCAACGAGAAACGGCTACGGACGATGGAGCGCAGGAGGCCAGGCGCGTCGATGGCATCCGCTGCCTTGCCGCCCCATGAGGGGGAAATGCAGACCTCCCCCGCAGGTCGCACGGCCAAAAGCAGCACGACCTCCCGACCTCGACTCGACCTCCCGACTCGATGCCCAAACTCGAGCTCGCTGGGCTGTAGCGTCAGACGTGACCTCCAAACGTGACCTCCGCACGTAACCCTCACAGGGGCAGCTCGTAGTTGACCTCACGAGGTCAGTTCAAGCGCGACCTGACCTGGTGAGGTGAAACTCGGCTTCAAATTATGCAGAGAGATTCCCCCCACCGACTGCTCTCTCGGCGTGGAGCTGGCCTGGCGAGCGTTGGGTTTACGAAGCCTTCCCCGAGGGGATTCCAGTTGCTGGAAACGTAAAAACAAAACAGTTTCCTGAAACGTTGCAATATGACGCTTGGACTTGAGCAACAAACGAAATGATGGACGCCTCGCGGGCCGGGTGACGCCGCCGCACCCGCCCGCACGGGCGAGCCGGCGAGGAGGTACATTCCGTGCACTGTGGCGTTACAGTGCAAGCTCGACACATTCAGAAAGAGAACGTGGAACGCTCAGGCAGTGACGATACAAAAAAAGCGGAGAGAGATTCCTGGCGTGGATTTGTCGAGCGCCCTCCCGTAGAGCCGCCCTTCCTCCCCCGGTCACCGCCACCGCTCGATGCAGCAGCGGTCGGCTTACTTGAGGTATGAAGTTGAGCGAAGTTACGTTCCCCCGACGCGCACTGCCCCCCTTCCCGCTGCGGCTCGTCACCCCCCTGCCCCCCCTCCCCCCCGCGGCGTCGCTCGCCGTGCCGCTTAACGCGTCACATTATAACGCGAACGATCGTAGTTTAGTCGACGCGCCCGGCCGCTCTCAGTTCTCCTTCCTCTCGGCCGCCGGCTGCGGCAGCGGCGGCAGCGGCGCGGCGTGGACGCCGTTCCCGTAGACGTGGAACGGCAGAGTCGAAAAGAAGCCCTCGGGCGTCGAGAAGACGCCGGCGCCGCCAGGCAGCTGCGCCAGCCCCGCGGCGGCGCCCGGCGCCGAGAAGGAGGCGGGCGACGCGCCCAGCCTCTGCACGTGGTGGTAGAGCATCTCCATCGAAGTCTTGGGGTCCAGGCCGAAACCCGCCGCCAGATTCGCTGGGAGGAGTCCGCCCTGAGCCGTGAAGCTCGGGTCGGCCGGCGCGTAGCGGATGGTGCCCGTGGTGTAGATGCGCGGCGGGTGGTGCGGGTGGTGGTGGGGGTGGTGCGGGTGGTGGTGGGGGTGGTGCGGGTGGTGGTGGGGGTGGTGGTGGTGCGCCGCCGAGGGTCCGGCCACGCCGTGAGCCAGCGGCAGCACCAAGTTGCCATGCTGCTGCAGCCGCTGCAGCATCTCCACCTCGCCGGCGCTGTAGACGAACGAGGCGAGGCCCGGGACGGCGCGCGTGCCGGGCTTCGCCGCTCCGGCGGTGCCTCCGCCGCCACCGCCGCCGTTCGCGTCCCGCGGCGAAGACAGCGCCGGCTCTGACTGCACGGGCGTGAGGCTGCGGGTGGAGCCGGCGCCGGGGGAGACGGGGAAGGGCGAGTCCGCCTTGTCGCCGGCCCCCGCGCCACGCGCCGTCATGCTGAAGGGCGACTCGTTGCGCGAGATCTCGCGGTTGGGAGGGAAGTGCCAGATGCTGCTGTCGTTGTCGAAGTTGAGTGGCTCCGAGCTCTCCGTCTTGATGGCCTTGCACGCCGGCGCATCCTCGGGGGGGCGAGTCCTCCCCGGGGCCGCCCGCCGCGCCCCGCGGTCGCGCCGGCGGCCAGGCCGGCACCGGCCAGACGACGCCGTCGACCTCGCGTCGCCGTCCGAGTCCCTTTCGCCGTCGTCGTCGCCGTCGTCGTCGTCGGCCTCGACGGGCCTCCGGCTCGGGACGCGCGCCGGGCCCCGCGTGTCGCAGCCGGCCTCGACCTTGACGCTGGGGAGCGGCGCGGGGACGGGCGGCGGAGCGGCCAAGGCCGCGGGCGCCGACTCTGGCTCCGAGTCCCCCGCCTCCTCCTCGCTCGAGTCGCCGGGGAGGGAGCCGCGGGCGGCACGGCCGCTCGCGGGCGCCACGGGCCGCCCCCCGCCGGCGGCCTCCCCGGTGACGCGATCGCGGCCGTTGTGCCGTGCCGGGGCGCACGTCGGCCGCCCGTCCTTGCCCTGCGCCGGCACCGCCGCCACGTGGCTCCTCCTCCTGGTGCCGCCGCCGCCAGGGCTCGCGTGGTTCTTGTCGGCGTGGAGGTTCGCGCGCATCTCAGCCTCGTCCTGGAGCCTCTCACCAGCAATAACGACCCCTGGATCGGTGGTACAGCACAAAAAAGATCTGCTAATGAGACAGTGAATGTCGAAACCAGTTCAGAATTTGTTGAAGCAAGGCCATGCGGCTGATGGAATCCGAAAAAAAGAATTTTTTTTTTTATTATGGGGAGGCGAATCGCACTGTACATGGCGAACCGTGCTAATCGGAACACAAAAAGTATATATATTCCAATAGCTTCGTCGTTAAGGCGACCGATAGCAATAATTGCAGGAAGACCTTGATAATAATCATACTAATAACGAAGTCTGCAATGTCGGGGGCTCAGGATAGATAGAGTTACGTGCAAAGCAAAAGTCATGCCCAACAACAACAGCAGAGCTCACTCGGCGAACGGAGACAATCCACAGGACGTGCGCAATCGTGAATCTCGGCACGGGGGGGAGAGGGCTCGGGGAGGCCGATAGCTGACCTGGAGCGGCGCGGGGCGACGACCCCGTGACCCCATCGGCCTCGCCTCGCCGCGGCAGCTGCTGCAGGTCCATGGGGCAGTCGCCGCGCTCGTGGTTACTGCAAGGACACGCGAGGTCACGGGGTGACGGGGTCACGCGCTGACCGGCACATCACAGGTGCTCACTAACTCACACCACACACAGGGTCACGTGGTGACCAGAACACCACACAGGTGCTTAGAAACACCACACACAGGGTCACGGGGTCATGGGGTGACGGGGTCACGTGCTGACCGGCACATCACAGGTGCTCACTAACTCACACCACACACAGGGTCACGTGGTGACCAGAACACCACACAGGTGCTTAGAAACACCACACACAGGGTCACGGGGTCATGGGGTGACGGGGTCACGTGCTGATAGCACACAGGTGCTCACTATGTATGCTAATCGGAGGTTTTCAACCTACATTTGAAAGTGCATAGCTCCAGTGGCTTCCTTACGTCAGAAGGAAGAACGTTCCAGATGGCTGTAGAAGCGCATCTGAAGGTGCGCGATGCAAAGACCATCTTTGTTCTAAGGTTAGCCAACAGTTGCCGCTGCGAGGTTCACTGGAGTTTGCGTGACGAGATCAGCAAGGTACTGTGGTTCATTTGTGCCAAGCACTGTGCGTACAATTAGTGCGATCTCATAACAATGTATTCGTTCAGCAACCGGAAGCCAATGCAGCTCAGCGAGCACCGGACGGACACGGTCAGATCTTGCAGTGCGCGTCACGACGTGTGCCAAAGAATGTTGTACACGCTGCAGCTGGCTAAAGTTTTTAGCAGACGTCCCAAAGGGCAGTGAGTTGCGATAATCGAGCCTTGTCGTTACTACGCTACACGCCACCGTATTGGCTATGTCAAGACTCAATAATGGTCGAATATGGTGCCGGGGCTCTTTACATGAGTAGAAAACTGAATCCTTGAGAGTCCGCGACCGCTACACCCGATCCTCCCACGAATTATTTCAACCTGGATTTAATAGTGGCTTCTATTATGGGAAGGAAGAGCATTCCAGACGGCCGCAGAAGCACATCTGAAAGCGTGGGGTGCAGTGTAACACGATGCACGGGATCACGTGCTAACCGGCACACCACACAGGTGCTCACTAACACCACACAAAGAGCCACGGACTGACAAGGAAAGCACACACGTGCTTACTAGGCATGTATGACCAATTTGATGGATGTGAAAATTCCCAAAACACGAAGAGATGTTTTGTTTGGACTGACCTGGAAGCATCGCGTCAGCCAGACGACAATGCAAACAATTAAATGAAAAACACCAAAACCTCATTAAACGCACGGAATTGTCCTGAAAAAAAAAAATCAAAACTAAAAACTTGCAACGCTCATCCCGCCAACGGCTTACCGAAGCAACACACGAGCGCTCACCGACGTGACACACTCGGCTCAACGTGCTGACTGAGCGAACTCCACCGCTCGGGTGCCGTTCACCACGCCGCGATTCACCGATTCACCGATGCACCACGCCTCCCCCTGCCGCCGCGTGGGGGCCGCACCTGAGCAGGTAGTTGACCCAGACGATGTTCTTGTCGCCGCCGGCGTTCTTGACGTTGATGGAGACGGTGGCCAGCGACTGGATCCACACGTAGCCGCCGCGCCGCTGCATCCAGCGGTAGTACTGCGTCACGCACTGGCCCTTGTTGATAACTGCGGCCGGAGTGTCACAGCGAGGATCGCGATGTCACCGCAAGCGCCGCGGTGACGTCACGCACACCATGGCAGTGCCACAACGTTGTCACACACCATGGGATAGTCACATACCGTGGCATTGTCACACTGAGGTGTCACACATACCCTGGTGGCGTTACACTGCTTCCGCACACGCAGCGTCGTCTCACCGCATCGTCACATCGTGCCACACGGAAGCATCATACCACTGCAGTGTCACACAGATCAGCAACGTCATACACCGTGGCGGTGGCACGCACCCAGGCGTTAGCCCACACACCGAGGCGTCACACCCAACGTGGAGGCATCACACACGCAGCGGTGACGTTCCAACCTCCACATGATCACACACAGAGGCGTCACACACACCGGGGTATAACACACTGAGGCATCGTCACACAGAGTAGCGACGTCACACACCAAAGCGTCGTCACACACTGAGGTGTCATCACACCACGGCGGGGGCGGCATCACACACCATGGCATCCTCACACACCACGGTGTCATCACAGACCGCAGCGTCATCACACACCGAGACATCGTCACACCGCGCCATGACACACTGAGACATCATCACACCCCGAGACGTCATACCGAGCCATCACACACTAAGACATCACACTGCGCCATCACATGCCGATACATCTTCACACCGTGCCATCACACCCCGAGGCGTCGTCACATATCACAGCGGTGTCACACAGATCAGGGACGTCACAAACTGCTTCCTCCTGTTCCTCTAGACTGCATCGGTCACTTGGAGGGTGTGCACCCTGGTTAATTGTGTCTCTGCACTGGATACAGATAAATAAATAGTAAGGAAATAACAACAACGATATTTATACATCGCATCGTCCTGGCCACCGTTTCGAGCGAGAGGCCATGTGGGGGGGGGGGGGGGGGCGGCTTCTCGCGTGGCGAGGGATCGTCGCGGCACGACGTACGGTCGACGTGGCAGTGCCGGATCGCCTCCACGTCCTCGGCGTGGACGAAGTGGTAGCAGCTGCGCCCCAGCAGCTCGCCAGGAGACATGTCCATGAACTCGCTGACCCTGCGGCAGCAAGGTCGGAGCACGCGCGCACACACACACACACAAAGATCACCCGTGTAGACCTTCACAGACTGTTGGGGTGGGTGGCCGGCACCATGCCCGACGCCTTTGCTTCCCCAGTGGCGATGTTCACACACCGCACCAGGTACTCAATTGAGGCGACCTCGGGGAGGAGGCCCAGCACCGGTTCAAATCATCGTCACTGGTGTTGGCCCTGAGCGGGAATCGAACCCGGGTTGCTGGGTTCATAGCACAGAGTGTTAACTACTACACAACACACGCACACACAACCACAACAACTGCCATTCGCTACTAAGTGGCGGTGACGTCACCACGGCGCTTGTGCCAGGCTATGTGTACACGCACACACATACGCGTGCATACACACATGCAGGCACACGCGCGCACACACACAAAACAAAGATCCCCCATATAGTCTTAACAGGCTGTTGGGGCAAGCGTTGTTAGTGAGTGTCTATGAAGGCCGGCACGGCACACGAGGGGGTAGGTGGCCAACACCACGCCCAGTCGCCTTTGTCTCCCTAGTGGCTATCTTTACACATCGCACCAGGTACTCATTTGAGCCCAGGACCAGCTCTGATAATCGACACTGGTGTTGGCCGTGAGCGAGTCGCCAGGTTCGGAGCGCACACACACACAAAGACACACACGCACACACACACAAAGACACACACGCACACACACACAAAGACACGCACACACACACAAAGACACACGCACACACACGCAAAGACACACACGCACACACACACAAAGACACACACGCACACACACACAAAGACACACACGCACACACGCACACAAAGACACACACGCACACACACACAAAGACACACACGCACACAAAGACACACATGCACACACACACAAAGACACACACGCACATACACACGCACGTGTGCTCACCTGTTCTCACAGTAGACGATCTTGAGGTCGAGGTCGAGGCGCGTGACGAACATGTGGCAGTCGACGCGCACCTCGCTCAGCGTGGGGGGCGGCAGGGCATGCGCCAGCGCCACGAGGCCCAGCAGCGGCGTGGGCGACGGTGGCAGCGCGTGCGACAGGGGCAGCCGCACCCGCAGCCGCCCCGTCACGTGGATCACCTGGGGGGGGGGGGAGGTCACGGCTGGGGTCACGGTGGGGGTCGGGGCGCTAAGTGGGGTCGCGTGCGGATGGTGAGCGTCGGGGTGGTGTCCCAAAACCCAGGGAAACTGAAGAGCAGCACAGAGTGAGTGTGACGAGACTAACATTAAAACTACCAATAACATATCTAAGAATCACAGTTCAGAGACAGACAACGTCCGGTACCATTAAAATAATTAAAATACAAAAAAAGTCTAACTTTAAGTCTCACCAATGGTCCTCATGCTATCCAGGACACTTGTTGCGGTGTTGTTATTCGAGTGCCCATAATTATTTAATTTTAAACACGGCGAGCACCAACTGAACGCCGCGAGGAAAATGTTTGCAATTTAAAATAACGACGTTTCCAGGTGAAATATGCGAGACAACTCAAGCCCCGACCTGCACCGGCTCGCACCCGTTCAGGATTGAGAGGTCAGCGAAGGGATTGGGGGGGGGGGGTTTGTGGACGGGGTGGGGGGGTGGGAGGTGGGGGTAGGGCACCTTGAAGCCCGAGGCCTTGACGTGCAGCCCGCGCTTGGTGAGCGTCGACTTCATGCGCAGGAAGAAGGAGCGCTCGAGGGGCTGCTCGGCGGTGATCATCGTTGGGGCCACGGGCTCCACTGCGGCACACGGCGACAACAACAACAACCTCATCATCATCATCATCATCGTCGCCGCCGTCGTCGTCGCCAACGTCGTCGTCGTGAGCCACGCTCTACCCACCGCTGAACGAAGGCCCCCCTCCCCAAGCCGTGGCCATCCCTCGCTTGTCCCGCGAGACAATAAACCAGCTACGCCGTGCGCGCGAGCAAATTTCATCATCGCTCCATCTTCGGTTTGTGCATCCCTCCTTTTGGCTGACGCTCCATCGTAGGTCTCGACCCACCGTCCCCTCGACGCCTTTAACCCACACGGACGACTCTTTAATAATTCGCGTCGCTCTTTTTTGAAAAGCGCGCAAAAGGAGCGCTTCAGACATGTTTTCGCAGGAGGCTCGCGAACGAAAAAACGTGAACACGCGGTAGTGTGCGCCCGCCAGAGACGACGCGGCGGGCTCCGTGATGAACGGGGCGTTTCACGAGCGCTGGCGGCGACGGCGGCCCTCCCCACAGACGGGCGCCCTCTGCGGCCCCCGACGCCATGAGTCCGCGATATCGAGTTTCGCGATGCGACGATTATCACGATGCTGGTTTTCCGTGACTCTGCGGCCGTGTTTCCCACTCCGTCGTTTCGTCGTTGCATCTCGCTACGTCCAGCGGGGTCGCGGGAGAGTTCAACTCTATTTGCTAAACTCCAGTTTGCTAAACTCCAGTTTGTTAAACTCACGCCTGCTGTGGGTCTTCTAGCTATTGCCAACGTATGCTCTGTAGTGTGGTTAACGCAATGCGGCTGTCAGCCTGGGCCGTAGGTTGTGATGGAGCAAGGGAGCCAGCACGTGTTTCATGATGGGTAATGGCTGCCTGTTTACAACTCCGATTTTTGCTTTCGTCGTTTCGCATCGCATTTCATCATGAAACGAGACGCAAGTTATAACACGGGGGACTTTAACACGGGGGACTTTAACAAGGGCGGTCACGATGATAGTCGACCATTGATGGGACAACAGAAACGACGGCGCAAGATTCTTAAATCCCCCACCACCGCACGTCCACCCAGCGTCGGTATGAACGGTTTCGCCACACGTAGCCAATCGGCAGCTCACGAGTGGCGGTGGGGTAAAGTGTGGGTACTCGCAACACCTTCAAAGGCGTCTGGCCAGCGTGGACGAGTAGGCCGAGAAAAAATACCCGCTCTCTAGAGGTGGCTCTCTGGCACTCCCCCCTTAGAGCAGAGGCCCTTCCGCCGGCAGGAGCGCGGGCAAACAGTTGCGCGGGCTGCGCCTTTACCACCGCCGTCGTCTCGTCGCCACGTCGCGGCAACCGTACACCACGTGGGGGGTTGGGGGGAGGTGGGGGGTGCGAGCCGCGGGTATCAAGGCACAAGCGCGCGCGCCGCAGCCATAACAAGGGAGCGCTGTTTAGTCTCCGGAGGGGGGCCGCTTGCGCGCGGAGCAGGGGAGACGAAAGCTCCTCCCCCGGTCCCCCCCCCCCCCACCACCACCCACCACCGTGCGCGTGCGGGTCGTGCGGCCGCGTGTTGTCCGACGTTTCGCCCCCACGTCACGTGCTCGGGAGCTTCTCCGACGACGTTGCTTCCGAATGCCGACGGTCATCGGCACCGCAGATTGAAGACGCGTCTTCGGAATCCAGTTCCTGAAGGAGGCCTCCCCCCCAACAGGTGGAGTGAAACGTGGGACATCGTGCCGAACAACACCGCACTGCAAATTCCGGGGATTGTGGATTTTATCGGCGCCACCGATTGATTGTCGGAAGAATTTGGAGATTTGCGGCATTTACGATCGACCCATTTGTTCAAGGAGTGAAGACGCAGGGAGGGATGAGAGTGAAGCCCTGGCAGAGGTGGACCCAGTCCGTCCGGGGTCCACGGTAGGTGGGGGGAGGGCGCCAGCCACGGTTGATTCAACGCACCGCGCTATGAAGCACCACTGACTCGCACCATCACCCAGAGAAAAATACACGCGACCACAGGGAGAGAGACAACGCAAACTCCAAATATGTAGAAGGCGTCAGCATCGTGATCGAGCCCACCACCTCCTCCATACCAGGCGAGGGCGTTAACATCTCCTCGCCACCGTGGTGCCCATCCCTGGCCACGGCCAACATCGGTGGCATGGGTGAAGAATGGCCAAACGAACCCTCCCCTTGACCAACACGGTGGAGGGAGGCCTTCATCCAGTGCTGGATTGACATTGGGGATGACTCCTCAAGTAAATAGCAGAGAAGTCGAATCGCCCAAGTGGATTCACGATTGTCTTCCACCCGGATGAAAAACACGCAAACCCTCGCAAGTGTTGCAGGGCCCAGGGCTAGCCACATAACCCCGTGACCTTTCGGCGATGTCTCGGGTGAACCCTGTGAACCCTTTTCGCAATCACGAGACAACCCCAACCCCCCCTCACCCCCCGCCACGCGCCCCCACACTCTCCAACGAGCGCCGGCGGACGACGGCGGCCGTCGCCATGGGCGGCGCGAGCCCAGCGGATGAAAAATTCCACATTCCTATGGCGGGAGCAAAAAAAGACACCGGTTACGACAGCTAGGCCCGCCCCTATGATTGAATGGCCCCGACGTTGCGCGCGTGCGTTTCTCACCGCCGCCTCCGCCGCGCTCTGGAATGTTTCCTCGAGCGAGCGAGCGGGCGGGCGGGCGAGTGAGCGGGCGAGCGAGCGGGCGGGATTGTTCGCGACGAGCAGCAGCGCCGCGGGGAATTTTCAGCAGGTACAGTGCACGCACGTGTACAGTGCACGCACTGTCCTGGACATGCACCGTCGGTACCCGGCGCTCGGTCCGCAGCGGAACGGCCGTCGGGTCGATGGCTCCGCTCCGGCTCGGGACAAGCGCGCGCGGCACGGTGTTACTCTGCTCCGAGCTAATCGGCGGGGGGAGGCGGCGGCAGGACGAGAGAGGGAATGCGAACGCCGTGGCTGACCCGGGGACGTCCTCCGTGCCACGGGAGGACATCGAATGAAGTCCCCACGGGGAATTCGGACGACTGGACGCCGCTGGGTGGGGGGGGGGGGAGAATCCCCGACGCGTCGTTCCCAAGCAGTGCATTGCGGGCAGAGCTGAACAGAATCAAGGGTGCGATCGCCCACGGCTTCGGGAAAGGACGCGGCTCGGAGAGGGAGAGAGAGGGAAACAGGATTGGTGGCGCAGCGGTTAGCGCCTCGCCCTATGAAGGCTGGTCACGGCTAACATCAGTGGCGAGTGAGACGTGCGTGGGCGCCCGTACACTTCAGCTCACACTGACCGTGGGGCTCTCGGTGATTATTCCCCGCGGGGATTCCGGTTAGAGGCTCTCCCGTGCGGAAGCCAAACTTTCATGGACGGACTTGACCAAACATCCCGATGCAGCAGCACCCTCCTGAACGGGAGTCTTGGGACTCGGCGGGGCTCCGATGGATAGATGAATGGCGTTGCTGTTGTTGTTGTTTCCGTGTGAACACTGCAGGAGTTGTGAAAAGGAAGCAATGGGCGACCGTTGCTGCATCAACGTTAACGCTAGCAGTGACCTCTCAAACTTGACCTCTAGCACCCCACCCACCGACCCAACCAGCCACCCACCCACCTACCCAACCAGCCACCCACCCACACACCCAACCAGCCACCTAACCAACCAATCACCCACCGAACCACCCACCCCTAACCAATTACCCAACCACGCAACCAACCGCCTGCTCACCCAACCACCCAACCACCCAACCACCCGCCCACCCAACCACCCACCCAACCACCCACTCAACCAACCACCGACCTACCCACCTAACCAATTACCCAACCAACCGCCCACCCACCCAACCACCCACCCAACGAACCACGCACCCAACCACCAAACCACCCACCAAACCACCCACCCACCCACCTAGAGAACCCGCCTCCGAACAGACGCCACTCTGGGGGCAGGGGGCAGGGAGCCGCCACCGCCCCCCAGGTGACCAGTCACGACTCCCCGGCGAGGCGGCGTACCGGTGTCGGGGGTCTCGGGCCCGGACGAGGTGGGGGAGGAGCCGTCGCCGGCGGCGTGGCCCCCCGTGGGGGGCTGGGCACCCCGACAGGGGGGCAGCCTCATGCCCAGGTGCTCGGCGAGCTCGGCGTGGTCGCCCGGGTGCACGTACTCGAACACGCTGCTACCCGTCATCTCCACCTGCACGCACGCACACACGCACGCACGCACATATCCCCCAGGTAGCCTCTCATAAGCTGTATGGGGCAAGTGCTGTTCGCGAGAATCTATGAAGGCCGGCACGGCACACGTGGGGGTGGGTGGCCAGCGTCGCGCCCGCCCACCTTTGTCTCTCCAGTGGCGGTGTTTCTACACACCGCAACAGGTACTCATTTGAGGCTGAGTCGACCTAGGGGAGGAGGCCCAGGACCGGTTCAGATAATCGTCACTGATGTTGGCCGCGAGCGGGAATCGAACTCGGGTCAACAGGTGCTTAGTGCAGCGCGCTAGCCGCTACACTACCGCTCCCCACACACACAAAAAAGACAAAAATCCCCCGTGTAGTCTTAACAGACTATTGGGGCAAGTGCTGTAAGCAAGCACCTATGATGGCCGGCACGGCACACGAGGGGGTGGGTGGCCAACACCACTCCCGGCCGCCTTTGTCTCCCTAGCGGCGATGTTTACACATCACACCAGGTACTCATTTGAGGCCGAGTCGACCTAGAGAAGGCCAAGGACCAGTTCAGATAATCGACATTGGTGTTGGCCGTGAGCGGGAATCGAACCCGGGTCGCCAGGTTCGTGGTGCAGCGCGCTAACCGCTACACTACCGCTCCCCACCACTCTCACACACACACACACGTACACACACACACGTACACACACACGTACAGACACTCATCAAGTAGCGTAAGTGGAATGAAAAGTCACTCGCATCCCCAGTGCACTCTCACCTCCCCCTCAACCCCACCCGCCTCCGGCCCCCCTCTCACCTCCCCCTCCGTGAACTCTCCCCCGCCAATCCCACCGCTGACTCTCATCTCGCAGCGTGCGTGACAAAGCGAGTGTGTGTACAGCACGGGCTGTGTGTGTGTGTGTGTGCGGCACGGGCTGTGTGTGTGTGTGCAGCACGGGCTGTGTGTGTGTGCAGCACGGGCTATGTGTGTGTGTGGGACACGGGCTGTGTGTGTGTGTGTGCGGCACGGGCTATGTGTGTGTGTGTGCGGCACGGGCTGTGTGTGTGTGTGCAGCACGGGCTGTGTGTGTGTGCAGCACGGGCTGTGTGTGTGTGTGGGACACGGGCTGTGTGTGTGTGTGTGTGCGGCACGGGCTATGTGTGTGTGTGTGGAACGGGCTGTGTGTGTGCAGCACGGGCTGTGTGTGTGTGTGCAGCACGGGCTATGTGTGTGTGTGGGACACGGGCTGTGTGTGTGTGTGGGACACGGGCTGCGTGTGTGTGCAGCACGGGCTGTGTGTGTGTGTGTGCGGCACGGGCTATGTGTGTGTGTGTGGAACGGGCTGTGTGTGTGTGTGTGCGGCACGGGCTGTGTGTGTGTGTGCAGCACGGGCTGTGTGTGTGTGCAGCACGGGCTATGTGTGTGTGTGGGACACGGGCTGTGTGTGTGTGTGTGCGGCACGGGCTATGTGTGTGTGTGTGGAACGGGCTGTGTGTGTGTGTGCAGCACGGGCTGTGTGTGTGTGTGCAGCACGGGCTATGTGTGTGTGTGGGACACGGGCTGTGTGTGTGTGTGGGACACGGGCTGCGTGTGTGTGCAGCACGGGCTATGTGTGTGTGTGGGACACGGGCTGTGTGTGTGTGTGGGACACGGGCTGCGTGTGTGTGCAGCACGGGCTGTGTGTGTGTGTGCCGCATGGGCTATGTGTGTGTGTGGGACCCGGGCTGTGTGTGTGTGTGTGTTGTCCGGCAAAACAACCTCCTACCTCCTCGCGGTGTCGTGGGCATTGCTGTGGGGGGAGGGCCAATGCCCATTGGCCTCTCCCCTCATGGCGTCTGTGACCACCACAGTGGCTAAACGGGGGCTCTGGACGGGTGTGAGGGGCTGGTAACCCCTCCACCTTCAATTCATTACCACTAAACCACGAATTAAACATAAACCTGTAACAAATAAGCTTGTTCTCTGTGGCATTCAGGAGGTCCGGTGGACCGGTTCTGGCTCCTGCCACCATGAGGGGTGGACAGTCCTCTACTCGGGGCAGGAGACTGCCAAACAACAGGGTGTGGCTCTTCTTCTGAACAAAAGAATGAAGGGGGCGTGGGAGCGTGGCGGTGAGGTGTGGGAAGCTGTAAGCCCCAGGATACTTTGGGCTCGCCTTCCCATCAACCAGAGGCGAGGAGTGGTGGTCGTGGTTACTTATGCCCCCACCGAAGACGAACATCCGTGGAGGGATGCAGGCAAAGCCGATGAGTCAGACTCTTTCTATGACCTCCTGTCACAGGTGCTGGCTAAAGTGGCCACTCGGGACAGAGTCATCTTGTTGGGTGACTTCAATGCCCGAGTTGGTCATGATGCTGACACCTGGTCTGGAGTGATTGGAAGGCATGGGCCAGATCAGCTCAATAATAACGGTAGGAGGCTGCTAGATTTTTGTGCAGCCCATGGGCTTGTAATTACCAGCACGCTCTTCCGGCATCGGCGCATCCACACAACATCATGGATACATGCCGGGTCCAAGCAAGAACATCTGCTGGACTACATAGTGACGGACCAGCGGATGCGAACCCATGTCCTTGACACCAGGACCTACCGTGGAGCTGATCTGTCCTCTGACCATCGACTAGTCATCTGTAAGATGCGCCTGCCTTTCTTCCACTCCGGTGGTGGGTGTACACCCAGGATCCCATTCCAACCAAAAGTGGCCTGGTCTCAGTTAGCTGATGAAAGTTGCAAGCGAGAATTTCATCATCGCTTGCAGCTGGGGTTGGCATCGTCCCCCACTCCACCTGATGTCGAGGGTAAATGGGCGAGGTTTAGGACTGTGACTCATGCAGCTGCAATGGCTGCTTTGGGTACGCGGTCCAGACCTCCCCAGAAACCCTGGCTGACAGAGGAGGTGTTCAGGTTAATTGAGAAAAAGCGACAGGCCCACTCTCATCGCCTACAGCATCCCACGTCAGAGAATGAGGAGGTTTACCGCAGCCTTCGCTCGGAAGTTCGGAGAGCCGTAAGGCGTTGTAAGGATGGGTGGTGGTCGCGGGTTGCTGAGGAGATGGAGTCTGCCTCAGTGGCCCGTGATCACAAATCACTATTTAACTCCATCAAAAAAGTAACCTGCAGCGCCACACCTATTACCATCATTAGAGGAAAAAACGGTGATCCAATCTCCGACCCACAGGAACAGGTTTGCAGATTTGCTGAGCATTTCTGTGAGGTCCTGGGGGAGGGAAATTCTCTCAGCCAGGAAAACATCATGGCACAAAGTGGGGATAACCCTGCTGAGGCTGCGGTGCCTCAAATATTGGAAGAGGTCACCCCCTGTGAGTGGCTGGCTGAGGTTCCAGCTGTTGAGGAAGTACTGAGGGCGATCCGGAGTCTGAGACCAGGGAAGGCACCGGGCAGAGATGATCTCCCAAGCGAAATGCTGAGGGAGGGTGGCGTTTGTGCACAGACTGCCCTATATGACATCATAACAACAGTCTGGACCACTGGACGGGTTCCGCAGGACTGGAAGGATGCCCTGGTGGTCCCCCTCTTTAAGAAGGGGGACCGCACAGACTGTAACAACTACAGGGGCATCTCACTCCTCAGTGTGCCGGGTAAGGTCCTGGCAAGGATTATTCAACATCGCCTTGCTAGGCACGCTGAGGAGAGGCTTGCGGAGCCCCAATGCGGTTTCAGGAAAGGGCGGTCCTGCACAGATGCCATATTTTCTGTCCGTCTGCTACAGCAGAGGTGTAGGGAATTCCAAAAAGACCTACATCTCTGCTTTATTGACCTGGTCAAGGCCTATGATACCATCAGTAGGCCTGGGCTCTGGGTTGTTCTTCGTGCTTTCGGAGTCCCTGACCCTCTGCTCACGATCATTAAGGACCTTCATGATGGTGAGCGGGCCCGGGTAAAACTACGTGGCCGGGAGTCGGAGCCTTTCCCTGTACACCTTGGGGTGCGACAGGGATGTCCTCTGGCTCCCACATTATTTAACATCTATTTTGACCGCGTAGTTCGTGAAGCCTTCAATAGCTGTACCGGGGGAATTTCCATTTGGTACAGATATAATGGGAGGCTGATCGACGCCCGGGTGCGATCAAGGGATGGCTCCCTATTGGTCAACCACGTTATGTATGCCGATGATTTGGTAATAGCTGCTCACTCAGAGGAGGAGTTGGAGACGCTGCTGCTGAGACTGGAGCGTGCCACTAAGAGGTGGGGCCTTACCATCAGCCCCACCAAAACTAAGCACCTGCCTGGGTATTTTGTACCATCGGACACTCCACCCCCACAACTCCCAATTGGTGATGGGAGTGGAGAGTTTCCCATACCTGGGCAGTGTGCTTATGACCGGCTCCAGTCTATCAGCAGAGGTCTCACTCCGAATCAGTCGAGCGGCAATATCTTTTCATCGGTTGCGTAACGCTGTGTGGAAGCTACCTGGTCTGTCGCTCCGCACGAAGCTTCAGGTCTTCTCGGCCACGGTCATTCCCTCCCTTCTCTACGCTTGCGAGACGTGGACCCCCCTGGTGGAGCATCTTCGCCGGTTGGAAACATTTAGGCTGGCCTGCCTACGATCCATCCTGGGTTTAACTAGGCTGGATTGTGTGAGGAGCTCACAAATCCTTGAAAGATCTGGGCAAAGTCCCATCAGTGAGCTCCTCCGGCAGGCAAGGCTGCGTTGGCTGGGTCATGTAGCCCGCATGCCCAGCCACCGCATGTCTAAACAGCTTTTGTTCGGCCGGATCGAGGGGGCTAAACGGGCGCGGCACGGGCTGGAGAAGAGATGGAGTGATGTGGTACAGGAGGACGTGGAGCTGAGTGGACTTGCCGATGACTGGTACCAGCGGTGTCAAGATCGGCCTCAGTGGAGGAGGCTCGTGAAGGACGCTACTGGGCAGTTGGAGGCAGTCGCCCTCCAACAACAACGGAGGGCGGAGGAGCGACGCTCACAACAACGAGCGGAGCGCCGGGTGGCTAAAGCACAGCAAGTTGGCACAGTAGGGGGCACAGGTGGTGCATCAGCCAGTC